TACGTCGCCCAGACGTGTATTTAAATCAACCAATATGCCACATATGTATACACTATCCACACCAAACGAATGATCCTGTCTTCGCTTGCTTTTGGCGAACTAGTGGTCCTAGATCTTTGGATTTCCTACGTAATGTGGATCAATTTTGCATTGTGCAAATTTTTGGAAGGTAGTCAAATTTTGAATTTGCTTGATAACCTTGCCAATCGGAACTCAACCAAAGCAACTGTTTCTGCTCCAGCGAGTGAAATTATATTCATCATAATCACATATCATCCATTGAACATGTTCCATTTTGTTGATAAAGGTTGTTGACGAAGGAACAGAAGGCACTTACTTTCTCTATGCAACTATTCGGTCAAGATCTCAACTAACGTTACCTTTTGCATCCTCTGGTATTACTACCACATTGTTAGAAGGCGGTCGATTGCATATTCCAATTGGAAGCTGCCGATGAATTTTATTACAATTGGGAAGCCAACGTATACAAAGACCAAGAATTCTGGGGCAGCGAAATTAATGCGGGAATCATTACTTAGCATGAATGCGTGATAACGCATAAACGATGAGGGATTTACGAAGTGATTTCGAAGATTTTTGTTAAACGCTTCCCGCTATGACAACATTTAATACTGTCGATTAACTTCATGCAGGCCGTACTAGCAGCAAAGGATAAGGACGTCGATATCTTAAATTTTATTATTAAAATTTTGTGAAAAAGTATAAGTATAATGGAACGCGATTGTCCGTCAGAAGGATTTCAAGCCCTGTGGTAGGTTGATGTTATGAAAAGCTTTTCTCTGCTAGAAATACGCTCGTAGTTTTGAAATTGCTTGTGTATTAGCGGTGCTTTTTGATGACTATGCCTTCTGGTGTTCTACCTATCAGGTATTTTTAATTTATAAATAGATTAAAATTGTTTAACAAAATAAATGTAGACCTGACCTATAATACGTATTACGTCTAACTAATTCAAATAAATTAGGAGTCCGAGAAGCCACAACCAAGAAGAATGTGTGGTTATTATGCAAATGCCTATAAGGAACGGGATAGCAATTATTTTATTTACATCGGAACTGTGTGTTTCGCTAATAATCACGTGAAATAGAGAAGGCATTCTCCTACTTTCTCAAGAAAGTTTATTTCATTCAAGTAAGCCTTAGATGCAAGTCAAAGTTAGACATCCAGAAAAAAAACAACCTAAAATCAATAAAAACGATATTGATTCAATTAGAAACATTAACGAAAGTCTATTAATGTTGAAAATTCTTATTTTAATATGGAACAACCTTTTTAATGTTGCCCATTATTCATCATATTAATATGGAAAAACTTAAAAAGTAATATTTTTCGACATTGGTTCAATATTGGATTTTTATCGAATTGATTGTCGCCTTATTGAATCAATATGAAAAAAATTATTAAATTAATAGTGAGTATTGTTCATACCAAACAGAAACAATATTACATTCAGAATTCGAATTATTAACACACGTTACGGTTTGAGTTTTTAAAACACTGCTTAGTGGCGTAGAGGTCTAGTAGGGATCTTCCCTTAGCAGTTCATCCAAAAGACTTCATAAATCCTAAATATAGTAGACAAATAAATTAAAATTATTACAAAAATGTTTCGCCTTAATACCTTGTTAAGACAGCCATGAACATTAGGTATATTTAGAAGAGAGGATGGCGCAGAAGATGTACTATTAAGGCTCCTTTGTTTTACCTATCTTCGAATGTCCGACCCAAAGGAATCTTCGTCATCTTCAATACCAAACTAAAAATTATTTCAAATAAAAAATCATGAAAAAGGCTTGAGGCTGCAAAGCAATTCTCACCTCTTTCTTTCTCCCTGCAAAGAGCTTGCTACGAAACTTATCTACATATATATGTTAAGATTAGATAAGATATTAAATAGACAAACTTGCCTTAAAGGTACACCAAAACTTTTGATAATCCATGATCTATTAACCATTCGACTAGCTTTTTCCTATCTTCTTCATCATTGGCTACGTCGTTTGACACAGTATTTTGCTCACCTTCACTGAAATTTACATTTTATACTACAAATTCCTCAACACTTGCATCTTGCTCTTGCATTATTGCTACAAATTTACCGTTTTCTGTGCATAAAACACCGTCTTTTAAATTTAATTTTATAAATTTGAAAAATGTTTCAAGTTAGCTTTAGCAACAATATCAAAAAATTCTTAAAAAAAATTATGTTCAACGTTAAAATAAAGTTATTTCAACATAATTTTTGAAATACCTAAATATGAAATACTTAAAATCAAAGTTGAAAGTTGTTAAATTAATTAGGGTATTCACAAGGTGTCATATTTTTATATATTTTATTGTCTTATTTTTTTAGAACGGTCATATCAACACTCTTGTTGTTTCCCATGCAAAATTTAAATACGACAAATACAACACGACGAGGTATGTTTTTTGAGTGTGTTGTTCTATCCGTTATATCTGTTTACTTTTTTTTTTTATTGTTGACGTTTAGCTGTCTAAAATTGATACAATAAGTAAATTTCATCAATTTATTTAATAATAATAAATAATCAGGTAAATTAAGTTGAAGAAAAGTGAAATATTTGGACAATTCACAAACTTTATCTTATGTCTTAGTCTTATGTCGTATTTCAATAGCTTAAAAAATACCACACTTGTGAGCACCCCTTAATTGTTGTATGTCATATTATGTAATATTTCTACACTTTACCAGCTGGTGATGAAAAATTAAGAATACGCCGTGTTGTATTTGTCGTATTTCAATTTTGTATAGGAAACAACAACAGTGTTGATATGACAGTAATAAAAAAAAAGACAATAAGACGATATGACACAATATGACACCTTGTGAATACCCCAATTGTGGTTGCAATGTAAACCAAAATGCCGGCGGTTCAACATAAAAAAGCTTTAATTTTATTTTTGTCACTTTCTTATGGCATTTTTGTATTCTTAATTTTTGACTACCAGCTAGTGAAGTGAAGAAATATTACAGAATATGACATACAACAATTAAGGGATGCTTACAAGTGTCGTATTTTTTAAGACAATTGAAATACGACATAAGACATAAGACGAAGATTGTGAATTGCCCAAATGTATTTCGAAGCTATTTTTCCCCTAAAATGAAAGTTATAGAATTAATATGTCACGTTATTGTTTTTAAAATGCACTTTTTGGCTAAGTGTACATGTTTTTTGGATGTACCAAACGTCAGTCATATAGCCAGAATAATTATTAAGCCGGTTAGGGGAAGGGTAGTTTTATAGAACTTTTAACGAATATGAATATTTAGGAGATATTTCGATATTCTTATCCAGCAAAATAACTAGCACGAAAATAAGATCAGCAAATTTAAACTGGCTTTTAAAAGGATTTCAAAAGTTAGCCTCAATAACAAAATTATGCTATACAATGCGGTAATAACGCCGATTTGAATGTATGGCACGACCTGTGCAACTAACATTGACATAATACAGAGTTCCTAGTCAAAGTTCACCATGGTACATTCGAAATGAAAACATCGACAAAGATCTTGGTATTCCTATGTTTAAGAAAGAAGTAGGGGACAGCAGAAACAAATACGAACTTAAACTTCGAGAACATCCAATTCTTGCTGCAATTTTAAATCAAATCCGCTTGAAAGGAAGAAGAAACTTCTAAAGAGCAACGTGTTAATAAAAAGGCTCAACCAGAACCTTGAAGATCTTTAGTTTTAAATAGATTTAAGATTTTATTACTTTTTGTTAGGGTTTAAACAAGCAAATTCAATAAATAAAGAGATGTTAAAATCAAAATTTAAACAAAAATCAGTGTACGGTCCCGCCCGCAAATAACTGGTCCCATTTTATTATTTATGAATGTTTACGAATTTCTACTGTAAAAAGTTTAAAAATGCAGCCGACAAAATTTTATTTTCAGCAATGTGCTAATTTTGTTGTTGTTTTTGTCAGCTTTTATTTGGAATTCCTCTCTTTCACCTCTGATATCATTAGCTGATGTTCTATTTTAATTTATATTCTATTTCAAAATCAGTCCGATAGATACTCATGTCCAGAGTATGTCGAAGATCGTGCAGCTGCTCGAATATTAATAAGTAGTTTGAAGTGAAGAATGCAAATTTTAAAGTAAGCAAGCTTTATTGCAAATTATTCGACTATAAGAGTAACAATTTTATTATTACAATTGAATTATATTAATCTAAAAATGTGGAATAAATTTGTGAATTTTGAGTTTCTTGGTGAATAGATACATCTTTATAGATATTTAATATAACTACGGTAATAAGAAACTAATTGCAGTTGATTGTAGATGTTGAAATTTAGAATTCATAAGTTCTGACGTGCGAAAAAATTCTAGCTAGGAAGTATTTTATAAATATTAATTACTTTTACACATGCAAATCAGCATATAAGGGAGAATACATATATTCAAAAATAGGTGTTTCAAATGGCTTACTACGAAAATATCTAACTCTAATATATGTTTCATATTTAAAAGCAAAACAAAAAACCGAAAAAAAATTGCACTTCCAAGTTTACATATGCACAAAATTAAAATACAACAAATTTTTTTTTCTTTGTTATGCCTTTGAAATTTGAGTACGTACCAAAATACATTCAGCTCTTACAAGAATATAAATTTGAATGCAAACTTGTGGGAATGTGTGTTAGAAAATAAATATATAAAACACAGTAAGTTCAGTAAAAATTCAAATTTTATGAAAATATGTATATAATAATGAAATAAATCAACAACAACAATAGCATATTTTTCTTCTGGATACACTTAAACATATTTTGCTTGTGTAGATATTTTCGAGAATATTTTATGAGTAAGACAATGTATTTTTAGTTCGAATAAATCAAACACAATACAGAGTTAAAAATAGTCTTACAAAATTAGTTAGAAAAAAGATATATAAGAGACAAATAATTGGGAAAAACATAAGAAAAAAAGTACGTTTAACAATTACAACTTTCGTATTTCTTCCCATATTTGAGATTGGGTGTGTGCATGAATTCTTCGCTTTGTATCTTTTTTTGTTACTGCATGCTTGTAGGCGTGTACATGCACGAGTGCATATAAGTAAGCACGAATTCGTACAATTGAACGAGTGAAATAGTTGAAATTCAAAAAAAATGTCGATAATATGTATATTGGGAATAGGCAAATATTATTACGAAATTTATTAAAACGATCGAAAGTACTCTCGCTAAGGTTCGAGACTGGGTAAGATATTTGTGATATTCTAAAAATACACATTATCCAAAAAATCGCTCAGAAATAGTTTTATATCTTCATCAACGCAGCAACATTCAGTGCTAAAGAGTGTGTGAACGTAAACCAATAAAATCTTAAAAAGCCGCATATGTGTAAAAAGTATATAAATTATACGCAGCAATAATTAAAAATAAACACATGCTTAATTGTTCTAATATAATAATTTATATGATTGTAAAGTGGTACACATACATACATATATATATAATTTACGTAAAAAAAATATTTGTTTGCAAAATGCAAGCTAATACCCATTATTATATACATAAATATTTTTTTATATACATATATACGAAAACGTTAACTAAATTATCAACACCTACAAACTAACGTCACTTAAATTCTGGAATAACCGATCAGCAAAAAATTTAAATTGATATTTTATTATTATAATCAAAATTAAAATACTGTTGCGATATGAATTTGCTGTATTTATGTATGAGCTTAATGTTTATATATATGCAAATATTACTCCTAAAAGTATATAATGTTTCAACAAAAAGTGACTTAAAATATTTATCTAAACTATTTTGAAATTACTACCAACCAACACTACTTCAAATTTAACTTATTGGAGCAGATATGTAAACTATATACAGTACATATGTGAAAAATATGTGTTGTCTATTCATAATTCAGGTTGGGAAGCAGCTACATACATATATAACTTTCACTCGTCTTTCTGTTTTGCGTTATATCCCGTCCTAATGTTGCCACGTTTCGGGACGACTACAAGTACTTGTATATACATAGATAGGTATTTTGGATTCAAACCATTAATTTGTCGATTAAGTTACCTTCTGTTAATAACTTGATTCTACAACTCGCTTCATTGTTTAGTATACTAGGTAGGGTAACACAAAGGGCAAATGTTTGAATCAACCCTACGACCTAACCTAAGTACGCGATTGACCATAGGATTGAAGTGAGTGAAGGGAACGATTCAGGTAATAATGCTTAAATCACGGTCCATCATTGTGAAATTTGCTTAAAAGTAAAAGTGTTGATACTGTTTGATAGTGTGGCAAAATACTAATTTTTGCCTGTTGGCTGCGTGTCTAATTTTGTAATTTTATTAGATTAAAAGAAGCACGATTGGCTTAGTGGGCGAAGCTGTCCAGTTGCACTTATTTAAAGATAAAGATAATGGAAACATGAATCCACGTAATGGGGCATAGCTAGTGTGAACTTTAAAAAAAAAAATTTTTACTTAGTTTATAGTTAGCCGTTAAAATACCATCATAAAATCTTAAATGAATATTTCAAATAATTTTTAAGTTACAGGCTTGTAAAGTGTTCTCAGTTCAATCAGCTCTATTAGTTTACCTTTAAACGCATTTTTCTCGAAACAGTATTTTTTGAATTCCCTGCAGTGATTAGTCGGAGACAAATGATCCGTTTTCAATAAATTTTTTCTGGATGTTCCGTTATTTAGGTATTTATACAATGAACTATCTGTGTTTTTGGCAAGCCAAAACTAGCCAAAATTTTGGTTGAATTGTTTTTTTAATGCCGCTATTTTGTTAATATTTTACTTTTAAAATTCGTTTTGTTTTTAGGCTATCGCACTAGGTGTGCCCCTTAAAACAAAACTATGTTACTTCGTACCACAATTAAAAGAAAAATTTTACGATTAATTTTATTATTTTATAATTATAGAGAGGTTGTCAACAAAAGCTCTTTGTTTGGTTCAAATCTATATAGACACGTATACCTGCGCAGAAACAAAGAAAGATCAAACATATTTTGACATTTTTCAAGGATGTACATTCATGTACACTTTTTATACTTTCGCAACCTGTTGCTTTAGAATATAATAGTTTTGTTCATCTAACGGTTGCTTGGAGCACCTGGAACTAATCGAAATTGATATAGATTTATATATATGTATATAGTTAAACAGGATGACGAGACGAATTGAAATCTGGGTGACTGTCGGTCCGTCTATCTGTTTGTGCAAGCTGTAACTTGAGTATAAATTGAAATATCGTCACTAAACATTGTACACATGTTCCATGGTATTCGGAGGATAGCATTTTAGATTTGTATAATCGGACCTTTGACAAGCGAAAACCTGTTAAGTGCCATAACTAAGCTCCTATTTAAGACAAAAAACTTGAAACTGAAATTTGAAATAAGATAAAAAACTGTAAAGTGGGCATAGCTCCGCCCCCTACTAGGTTTAATGTATATATCTCGCAAGCCTTTAAAGCTACAATATATCAACCAAACTTGTTGGAGATGATTCCTTTTGGCATTCCTTAAACACTGTGAAAGTCTGGGTGAAATCGGATTATATCCACGCCCATTCCTCATATAACGGTTAACTAAATACGTCAAAAGCAATAATTTTCGCATCTTAAACGGAAAGACTTCATAGAAGCACGTGACAAAATTGAACAATGGGCGTGGTACTGCCCACCTTTAGAAGAAATTCCATATCTCGGGACCTCCTTATTAATTTCAATCAATTTTGGTTCAGGATATTCCCTTGACATTTCGTATTACGGTGTTAAAATGAACGAAATCAGACAAAAATCACGCCTACTTCCCATACAACACAATTATAAATGTCATGTGCTTTTTCAATTAATATATAAATATTTTCGAACTTATGTGAGATATCTTAATGGAATTCATAGCGAATCTCTTTTTAATGACAGTTTATCTTTGTGATAAAAAAAATAAAATCGGCAAAAAATTTGCCCTAGCTCCCATATACCTAATACAAGTATAATATTAAAAGGTTAAACTTTCAGTTGGCATTATATCGTTTAAATCAGTAAAGATGTAAGGTATCTTTAAAAGAAAATTAAATGAAAATATATATTTATATTTAGTTTAATGCCGAAAATTTGTGAAATCGGTCCAAGAATTACGTGGTTACTAGCTATAACGAATTATTCCAGCAAACTTTATGTCCAATATGTCGGTCAGTGTGTGAATTATCTTCACAAAATTGCATAGAAACATGTTCTTGAGTACACTTTAGTAATGCCAACGGTTAATGCAATCAGCCAGCCCCAATATACCCGATATAGTGATTTCCGATTTTAAAATGAAATTAAGTGCATACAATTTCTTAAAAATTTTATGGCTTATCGCTTAATTTGAATGGAATTTGTCTAGACCTTAATCTAAACCTCATATCCATAATATAATAAATTCCTGTCCTCTGTTTGACGTTTTCCACAGTTTATGTAATATTTATCTCATTTGACTTAACTTTTAATATAAATATCTGGGACATGAAGCAAAATATAGCAATGAAGCTTAGTGAGTCTATGACCTATGATATAAGTGAATAATACACCAAATGATTGTAATACATGTGGGTTCCTCTAATTTTTAAGAAAAAATTTATGATATAAAGTTTTGAAACACCTGAAGGTATTTCTAAGCCTTTGATCCTTGTCAGAGTATAAGATATTCGGTTACAAACTTAGCCCTTCCTTAATTGTTATACAATGCAGTTCTACTTTAATTTTATACATATTATATTTCACTACTCTTAATTTATTTTAAATATTTTCAGGTTGCAATAACGTCGTTACTAGAGAGTGAGAGAGCGTATAATTTAAGAGAAATCTGTAAATTATCTTTAGCTAAGGCCCAACCAAATTTATACATCTGACTGAAGTTTCTGACCTGCTTCAAATAAAGTTCGAAAAAGCGATAGCAACGTCCACACATCTACTAAAGAAAGTCCAAATTTGTGCATACCATTTCAAAGAGCACATGGATAATAATTAAAAACTTAATTGCAAAGGTGTTTCTGTTATTTTAAACGCTCAGCATGGGGGTTGCTGAAGAATTTGCTCCCAGCTTCGTAAAGAAGCCACAACTTCGTCAAGAGGATGATGGCAATAGGTTAATTTTTGAATGTCAGCTACTTTCGTTACCCAAGCCTGACATTGAATGGTATCGCAGTGACAATTTGTTAACAGAAAATGAAAGAACTAGATTCAAAACACAACCAATTGCGGATAACAAATTCACAGTTATATTAGAACTTGATGATGTCATTGAAGCAGACGCTGGACTGTACAAAGTTAAAGCAAAAAATAAATCAGGGGAGGTTTCAGCTTCAATCAACTTAAATTTTAGACGTAAGTATGCCTTATCTATTATGTTCTCTATGCTCTATACTAAGAACTGCTGCGGTAAAAGACCTATACACCATATATTAATACTTACAAACCCAGGTGTTTTGCCATATAAGGCTTTTCTAAATCAGAAATGTGTATTATACATATATTCGATTACATGTCAAAATTCGATTACACGTTTAAAGCTTATGTAACTTCCATAATACCTGAAATTCGAAAGTGTTCATGTTGGTGTTCGTAATCGTAAAGAAACTATTTAAAATCGTATCATAATATACATATTATTTATTTAATGCTAAATATGTTTAATGTTTTCAAAATATAGCGGGATTTGAATAAAAGAACATGTCCTACTTTATGAAAGTATATAATTTAAAATTTTTTGTAATTATCAAATTGTTCCTATGATCAATAATTCAGTCTTCTTATACGATGAGTTTTATGAGAACCTTTCTAATATTACGTAGTGGAAATACCCAATTAGAGATCGTAATAGTTGCCTTCAATCATATCTATCAAAATATATTTTCTGAAAATAACATTCGATTTTTGAGAAACTGATACAAAATATGAACATTTGAGGGAATACTTAATCTCACTATTTGAATATATTTCAAGATGTTGGGACTTAAATTTGTATTTTTTTTTTAATTTCATAATGAAAATTGAAAATTTAATTTTTAATCCTGAAATCAGAACTAAGAATTACTAAAATATAAGCCCTTTGAATGTGTAAGCTCAGTGCTCTAGAGTATGTATTGAAAATGATGGCTCTGTGTGAACTCTAGTTCAAAATAGTAAGACACGAACAAGCGCGAAACAATGCTAATTATAAAACTATTTCCTTTCTTAATTCTTAATTATATGCTTGGATTTCAAGTTTTTTTTCAGTTTCTTAATTCGGTACAAAAATTCGGGTTTTGGTGTTAAAATTTTTGTTTATTCCCGTATTTGGGATTCAGTTTTTTTTTCAATTTGGTATTTAGGATTAAAAATTATTTTTTATTAAGATTTTCGGGACAGTAAAATAAAAAATAATAATTTAATTCAAATGATAGTTCAATTATTTTTGAATGCATTATTTGCAACCCAGTTTATATGCTACTCTTATATACATATGTGACAATTGACTTCATTAAAGTCAAGAAAATTTATAATAATTTATCAATTATGAATTAACTGTTTTTGCATTATTTTTGTCCATGAACAGCCGCTGACGAACCAAAAGAAAAGTAAGCAACAAATTTATGTATGTCGCATTAGCCGTATTTTTTTGTACCTCACTTACAAAAATCGCTAACTGATATATTATTGTATATTAAACCACATCTACAGCAACGACAAATGTTTTACTGTATGAGTTGAGCGGTATCCGATCTGATAACAAATTGTTATTCTTTCTAGTTACAACTTGGTTTCAACAAAATACGGCTAATATAAGAACTATTATCCTTTGAAGATTTTTGCTTATAGCGCCGAACCATTGCTCTTTTAATAAACTACACATGTACGCACTAAATATTAAATCGCAGAGGTGTTAATATCTTCACATCATATGCCACAATATATATATTTTGTAATGTTACAGTTTAACCCAAAATTAACTTAATGAATTTTACTTATGAACGATATTCTTATTTTAATAGGATTTTTTTTATATGCTCGTATTTCACAGAACAGTTATAGAATGCTAAGCTATTACCCTAAATATCAATTATGGAAGTATTTCCATCATATGAAAAAAATCCTAAAATAGCCTACGCCTATGTCGCAAAAGAACATTAATGATGCATTATTCTCGTTTAATTTTATTAAGATATCTGGGACTAATAGTATCCGATATAAACCAAACTAAAGGGACGAAATTTAAGTAATTGGGTATATGAGGAAAAAGGCAATCATAGAGCGGAAAACCTTATATTAGAAGTATGGTAAGGAAAACAAACTCACTTTTATGCTTATTTGAAACCGTTATATTCGGAATCCTTGTATTGAGTATATGGGGGCTAAAAGTATTAGCCCGCTCTTCATATGATTTTGGTACCAAGGCGATTCGCAGATTATCCGAATGTTTTCGGTATGAAGACATCCATGGTCTGATTTCAACCATATTTACCTGAAAGCTAGTTAAAACTTAGGGTACTATTAGTTGAAAGGTTTTTCTGACGTGTTCACTGGTGGTTAATATATTCGAGTATTATATGTTGTAACATTATATAATCAGATGAAATTTAGCATTATGTTATATGGAAAACCAGTGTGGTTATAGTCCGTTTTCGACCGTTTTGAAGCTGTAATGTAATTGGTGTGTGCCAAATTTTGTTCAAATTGGTCGAATACTGTGTAATTTGTATCATAAATTCCTGATAAAAATGTTTTGACTAAGCTTTCTTTATTTAGCTTTAGTAGCTTGTGAGATATACACATACATTAAACCTATTTTTGAAGAACAGAGAACATGCGAAATTTAACTCATCTTGTCATCCAGATCATTTTGATGTGTATAACTGTATATCTGCCTACAGAGATAGGTGCCGTAAATAACCGTTGGGTGAACAAAACTATTATTAGGTTCATAAGAAGATGCGAAAGTATAATAGCAGTAATCAGTGCTTATAAATATCAGTTTCGATGAACTTTATGCTCAAAAGTATTTACCCAATTTAATACTTTTACAATAGGCTGTTATAGAAAATAATAGTTTTGTTAGTATAAATACTTACTTTCATCTGCATTTAAAAATACCTAAACTTTCAAAATTTAGTTTTTAAAAATATTAAAATGTTTTCAAAGGAACGCAATGTATTATAATATATAAATAAAATGGAGCAATTTTGTTTTGTCACTATTGTCGCGGCACTTTTATATAAGTGGTTATTACAAGTAATAGCAGTAGCTACAGACAACTATTGATAATATTGCATTCTTGCCACTGCAGTTCTTTCACAATTGTCATAGCTGGCTATTATCGTCTATGAAAGGGATAATTTTTTGTTGAAACAATTCTTTTCTTATTCTTAATCTACATCGACATCAACATAGGCATATCCTGATCCTGGAGATATTAACACTACATTTTTATTTTCTTCTTAAAATCTAACTTGTTTACATATTATGCTACCACTGCTTTTTGCTTTTCTTTTGTTTAATTTTTGCGCAAAACCATCAGATGGCCAATTTGATATCAGTGATTCTGATCGGTAAGTTCCGCTTTTTTTCATGTTCAACCATTAATTTGCATTATTTTATTGGAATTTCCATTACTTTGATTATTTTTAACCATTTTGGTATTATAACAGACAAATCGACGGATTCGCGCCGACTTTCGCGAAAAAGCCCGCTATCCGACAGGAGGATGATGGAAAACGTCTGCTCTTCGAATGTCGCGTCAATGCAGATCCGATACCAACCATTAGCTGGTTTCACAATGGAAATCCCGTTACGGAATCGTCAAGGCATAAAGTGAGTATACGAGTATATAAAGGGTGTTTTTTTTGTTAGAGTTATAGAACTTGAAATTGCAATAAAACAACTATGGATTATTCGGTTGACTTGAATTTTATTTAACCGAAATATAATCTTGTGGCATTACATTTTAAATATGATTTCTGGACGTCCAATTTTCGATGACTTTTTCCAACATTTGTGGCCGTATATCGGCAATAACACGGCGAATGTTGTCTTCTAAATGGTTAAGCGTTTGTGGCTTATGCGCATAGATCAATGACTTTACATAACCCCACAGAAAGTAGTCTAGCGGTGTTAAATCACAAGATCTTGAAGGCCAATTCACAGGTCCAAAACGTCAAATTAGGCGGTCGCCAAACGTGTATTTCAATAAATCGATTGTGGCACGAGCTGTGTGACATGTTGCACCGTCTTGTTGGAACCACAGCTCCTGGACATCATGATTGTTCAATTCAGGAATGAAAAAGATAGTAATCATGGCTCTATACCGATCACCATTGACTGTAACGTTCTGGCATCATCGTTTTTAAAGTTGTACGGACCAATGATTCCATCAGCCCATAAAGCGCACCAAACAGTCAGTTTTTCTGGATGTAACGGTGTTTCGACATACACTTGAGGATTAGCTTCACTCCAAATGCGGCAGTTTTGTTTGTTGACGTAGCCATTCAACCAGAAGTGCGCTTCATCGCTAAACAAAAGAAATGAACGTAGTGCGCGATTTGTATTCCGCACTAAACCTTATTTTCGAAATAAAATTGCAGTATTTGCAAGCGTTGTTCAGGCGTGGGTCTATTTATGATGAATTGCCAAACTAAACTGAGAATAAATCACTTGGCAGCTGCTAAATCGGTCGCCATCTTGAACAGTAATGCCAACTTAAAGTTCTGTACCTCGAAAAAAACACCCGTTATATAGCGAATATACGTGTGCACTATCATGTACTATACCAAAAGCTCAAACAAACGTGCAGCACTTTTGGTGCAATCCTGACGCATGCACAATAGTGTTATGATTCTTTCATAGTGGATAGATCCTGTTTTCGCGTTAAAAAACGTTGTTAACCCTTTGTTTTGGTTTTCCATAAATTACTATAATTACTTTTAAGCCTTAAGTTTGTCATATGAACCATTCACAGTAATAAAACTGATATTAATATGCAGAATTAAACTTGGTAGCATTTAAGATAACGGCTTTACCTCTTTAATGAGGTATCCACGTACTCTCTTGTACGAATTCAACTCGATAACTTTGTTGTTGCTTTTACGTGTAATTTTTTTCACAAGAAAGCAGCAGCTAATGAGAGATAATCTATGTAATACGAGTATATGGTATGAATTTTTAATACTTTCATTATTTGTCTATGTATCGACTATGTAGTATTATTCATTACTTTATGTTTGTTTACTTATTTCAGATGACAATTCAGAAAGATGTAAATTCATACTTTGCTTCCTTAGAAATTAAAAATGTCACTGTTGAAGATGCTGGAAAATACAAAGTAAACGCCAAAAATGAGCTCGGAGAGAGCAATGCCACCATTAGCCTGAACTTCGACAGTAAGTCACACTTTAACACAGTTAAGAATATTAAGGAAATTATTCAATTTTTATAATCACATATTGTGAAAACTAAGACATATCTATATTGAATAGCGTTTGCTCTTATTTCAAAGCATATAAATTAGAATTTTTAGCATCAAGTTAAGTACAACATTATCTTATTTCGATGCAGTTCACCTTAAGCCGTGTTTATTAAAAAAACACAATATCACTCCATCTTTTCTTGCATAATGCGGCTTTACATTTTATACTTTGCATTTTTACACTATGTTTCCTTACGTATTGCTTAGTGCGACCCTAAACGAGGCTTGTTCAAAAAGTATCTCGAGTTTTGAATTTTCGTGGGCTACTTGTTCGATTTTCTATTGTTATGTAGCGTTATGTTGGTACTCTTATCCCTTACTTATGCTGAGAATGTCGGCCATTTTGAATGTTTAGTCAATTTTTGACAGCTGTTTTGCTTGGAGCCGTTTTGGGTCGTCTTCGATTTTTGCTTATTCCAAAAAATTGATCAAAGAATTTTTTAAAATTTTGTGTAAGAAACAAAATTAAGTGCAGGGACACATTCCGAATGTTGACTGTGGCATATGGTGAAGCTATCTTGGACAAAAGCAATGTTTATCGGTGGTACAAAATGTTTTCAAAGGGTCGGAAAGCTGTGAACGACGAAGAACGTGTCAGACGCCGGAGCACATCAAAAATAGATGAAAACATTAATGAAGTGAAGAAAATAGTATTGGCCAATCGTCGAATCACCATTAGAGAAATTGCTGAGGAACGAAACATATCGATTGTCTCGTGCCATTCGATTTACCCAATGATTTGGGTATGAGTGGGGTGCCAAAATTGCTCAATTTCGACCAAAAACAGCGTCGCGGTAACATTGCTCAGGAAATGCTGGACTTAGTCCATGAGGGTCATAACTGGTGACGAATCATATGGTATCAACTTAACGCTACAAAACAATCGAAAATCGAATACACGTAGCCCGCGATAATTCATAATTCGCATTCTCGCTCCTTTAATTGCTTTTTTTACTCATAACCGATCTTTATTGCAAAGGCATTAAAAGGGCCTCTTAATCAAAATCGGATTGAATGCTACACGTATTCTTATGCTAAGAACTCCATATTTACGGAGCTCAGATGTTGGGAATACATATATACGCACCTTTGATTTTAGCTAATTTCATATAGTAGTTCAAGTTGGTTGTACACCTTCTGTTATACTTGTTATTTCCACCCTGTTCAATATTTCGCTCATAACAAGTAGATCAACCATATAATTTCCGTATCCTTTGCGGTAGTTGTTGACTCTAGTAACGTGTGGTGTGCAAGGCTAATTTAAGATAACGATACATGTGTTTATGACCTGAGATAAGGTGAATTACGGGCAAGTTTTTCGGTTTCAAAGCTAAAGAAGATTTTTTTACACGTCTTTGCAATAGGTTACCTGTGACAGTACTACTTTTGTTCGACATGTATCATACAAGTATACTATATATAATATATATATTTTGGCTTGACCCATTGGTAGTTTAGCTCATTAATTGCGTTGTAAATATTCATTTCGCAAAGCAATAATAGCTTAACCATGTGTATTCGCTTCAAGCATATTTATATTCGGCTAGCGCTTGTATTCTAATAGGTGCCTTCTTTGTTGAAAACACTTTTTTGTTTATCTGATAAAAATTATTTTTTGATTAATCTTACGCTTTTTTAATATTTCACTTTGTCCAAACAATTAAAAGAATAGTTAGACATTCCGATCTAAACGTAAACGTTTTGCCCAAAACTTGGTTTCATATACATTATATAAACGAAAAATAAATTACAAAGAATAAACAATACTAAAAACATTCCACATTACTCATTTTTCTTTCACACATTACGATTTCTTTTTATATAATATTCTGATCTCCTGTTTTCAAAACTCAGTACCAGAAATATTAGGTTTACAATATATAAAATAGCTAAGTATGTATGTTAATGTAAGTCGTTTAAACTAAAAAATATAATTTCACTATGCTTCAAGAAAAAATTCAATTCTTTACATATCCTAGACCAAGTTATAGGTATTGCAATTATGTAACTTTGTGTGTGCAATGTGACTGGATAATTATTTTTAGATTACCTTATTTGCGACAAATTTTGGACTTCAATTTCGTAACTTTGTGTGTGCAATGTGGCTGGAAAATACTGATCCTAGTTAAATATTTCTTTTTTAGATTACCTTATTTGCGACAAATTTTGGACTTGAATTTCGAAGATGAGAACGTTTTTTATACTTGTTCATTTTGTGTTCATACACATCCACAAAATGTTGTTAAAAGACAATATGTACATACGAAATTATAATTCCGTAACAAATGAAGCTATTAAACGACTTAAACATTTTCAGACAATACATTTGATATTGTCGAAATCGGTTTATTTCTCCTGCCCCATACACAGAATATGATAACCTTCGCCCTCCCGAATAGTTTTAAAGCTTTATAAGTGATTTTATTATCTTAATACTATTAATTGTGAATTGTTCCTTTCCCATGTTGTAAATGGTTTTTGCTTTATTTACCTCTTTGCAATAGGTTATCTGTGACAGAACTACATTTGTTCGACATATACTATATATACCTATATATATTTTAAGTAGGTTTGATGATTATTTCGCCCATCTCCCTTGTAACGGTTATGAGCGTAACTTCTAAACTACGATAACTGTCCACTGAATAAGGCCAGTAATGTTGATGTATACCATTTATACCGATGATATGCACGATACCTTTTTTTTAACATTTTGTGAACTTGTTTTGTTTTGTACAAAGTGGTACACAAATAAAAAGTGTAAAATATATTTTGTGTCATAATCTTTACTTAGTCCAATATAAGGAATGTATTACTTTACGTAATTTTTCCGACACATTAAGATACGCCTTTGAGCTTTTCGAATTGCGTGAGTCTCTAATGTTCAGCCCTATCTATACTTCTATGGTTTCAAGACCTTTTTAGATTGTATAGATATGATTTTTAACAATAAGTACGAATGTATGTATTTTTTACTAGTAAGTATGTATGTTCAGTAACTGAAAACCTGAGGTATCTAAAATTATACATTGAAATTTATTAATTAATGAAGTTAGTTAAGTGTGAACTTTCAATCTCGATATTGTATCCGATGTATAGTGTTCCAATTTCTCATATCCTATGAAAACACATATTATTATACACTATAAAAAAAAAGTGTATAAGTTCCAAACTCTTAATAAGTCAGTATACATAAGCTCAGTATTTTCCGATTAAATAAATGTTCAAAAGTTAAAGCTATCCAATCTATATGTATGTATAAATTTAGGCGATGAAGCACCGGTGCCCGATGACGGCATTAAACCGACATTTACAGAGCGCCCAGTTATACGCCAAAGTGAGGACGGAGGCAATGTAACATTTGAATGCAGATGTGTCGGAGATCCAAAGCCAACCGTAACGTGGTACGAACTTATATACACTATATTCATGACAAAATTGAAATATAAACTCAGTATTGAAAATATGTACTTTACTGTCTTCAACGAATAAAAATGTAAGAATTTCAGTTATGATCCACCTAAAATGAAATAAATGAAAATAAATTTTCCTAGCACCGATCTATATAGACCACATGTACAAATGTAAATATGTTTAGACCTGAACTAAGCTGTCTTCGATTCACCACGCGTTGGAGAGAAACGAATCAAACAAACCAAATTCACAATTGTATTGCGATTCATTCTTTGGTTCTTCATACATTCTTCGTTCCGGGTCAAAATCGTTTTAGTAACCTTTTAGGTTTGTTTTCTATAAACAAATATAATTTATCTAAAACTATAATTTGTAAATTGATCTACTAAAATTTACCTTAGCAATAACTTTGTTGTTTCTTTTAAATGTAATATTTTTGGATAGAGAACAGCGCGCAAAGTTAGTAATCAGTGAAACGGTGAATCGAAGACAGCCTTTGTAAAATTATGTGATTAGCGAACTGATAGATATTAATTTTCTATTGGGTTCAAATATTAAAAAACTATGCTTTTTTAATTTTAATGGTGTAATTTGTGTACCGTTGCGATAAAAGTAAAACAAATAAAAATCCTTGCATTTTTGTTGAGATGAATGAAAATACGTATTACATACTGGGCTTGTCAGAAAAAAAAACATTATTCGCCGTCCGACTTGTCCTTTTTAAAAAGGTTTCATGGCCAAGAGGAACTCAAGGAAGGCGGAAGATATAAAGTGTCCTTATCTTTGGATCAAACATTATACCACATGGCGCGATTAGAAATCAGTAGTGTTATTTCAAGTGATCAAGGAGAATATCGCGCACGTGCAAGAAATCAGCACGGCGAAGGTGTGGCTACAATCAACCTAAACTTTGAAAGCGGCTCAAAAAAGTAAGACAATTTAGGTTAATTTAAATAACTACTAGTTATACTTCGTGGTTCTGGTGGCAAACGCAACATTTTTACATACATACATATATAATATAAAATATTATAAATCAACCAAAAATACAAATAAAATAAAATAAGTAAAACAATTCACATGTAACTATAGAACAAAAATATGTGATATGAAATTCTTTGAAATTAAACGAAATGGAATATGATATTAATAAAGTTTAGTTAAACTACGTTGGTTATGCAGCACTTTAATCGACAATACTTGAATTCGTTAACTCCGTACTGTCCTTTTGCATCGAGAATTGTTTCTCTCTTTGAGGTGTTTAAGGTTAGTTAAGACATTTGATTTGTATACTCTGAACAGAGAATTAAGTATTAAGTTAGCCACGAATTTTGTAACACGCAGAAGGAAACGTCTATATAAAATACGCCCTATAAAATCTATATATACATATTAAGATGATCAGCGTAACGAGCTGGGTTGATTTAGCCATGTCCTGTCTGTACATACGCGAACTAGTCCCTGAGTTTTTGAGATATCGCTCTGAAATTCTGCCCTCTTTTTCTAAAGAAGCTGCTCATTTGTCGGAACCGTCGATATCGCACCACCATAGCATATAGCTACCATACAAACTGAACGATCAAAATCAGTGTCTTATTAAACTTAACTTTCAACTTTTTAAAGTTCATCTAAAATACTTAGTCCATTTAAAATAGTTCCATTTGCATGAGTACTTTTCTCTTTCTCTTTGTCAGCAAAATAAATGAAAATACATATTTATCTACGCATTGTGATAGCTATGTTTGTATGTAAAAATTCCGCCATTTTTATAATGTGTAAAAATGATATTATACCATACAAAAAAATTATTTGAAATAATTAAAGTAAGAAAACGAAATAAAATTATCAATTCAGAATTCCGGATGGTAAATCGCCGCGTTTTCCGAAAAAGCCAACCATTCGACAAGAGGAAGACATATTAATAATGGAATGTATATTAGAAGCACACCCGGTCCCAGACATAACATGGCATTGTGCCGATCAAAAAATTGAAGATTCAAAGCGTACAAAGATGTCAAGAAAGGCAATTTCTAAAGACACATATGTGTTGATACTGGAGATCCAAAACCCCACCAAGGACGATGGTGGTAATTACCGTTGCAACGCCGTAAATATGTATGGCGAAAGCAATGCTAATATAGCACTGAATTTTCAAGGTATATTAAAAAATATACGTCCTCTTTGGTACGTTAAACTTTACGTTATAATAGCTATCCATAATTTAAAAACTCAAAATGTACAATTATTATCGTAGCGTATGAATATGTTATATAGTTGTATGTATGTGTATAAACCTTGCGTTATATTATATCAACTAGGTTAAAACAACTACACAACAACAACTAGTTGTGTACTAGGAGTCCAACTAATCATTTGACTTTCTCTCTCCATAAGAAAGTGTTATTTTTTAAGCGTTGACCACATGAGATAAGCCATTTATAAAACAAAATCACCCATTGCAAAATCATTTTATAAATGGTACCAATTTCTGGGTTTTCTGTCTAGTTGGATTTTAGACAGGAATTTGTAGTTGTAAATTGGTGTATTTCCTGACTGACAGGAAAAGCGCTAAACACTTCTACTAATACATAGTACGTACCATTCAATACCACATTTATTTTTTTCCCTATGCATGTTTTTGTTTTAAAATTTTGCATATGAATATTTATTATAAAGCTTAATATATATAGTTGCTACAATCTCCTAAAACTCTTTATATGTACATACTTTGTTTATTTTTGATGATGATGAACTAGTTGTAATTGTAACTGAAAGGTTAGGAGTTTGACTTTACATTTATAAGGCAATTTTTGGAAAGACAAGCAATTAACTTTTATTTTTTTACTACGTTTACTATAAAGAATGTTATTTCTTATTTTAATTTTTTTGTTGTTTTCTATTTCACACGTTTTTTAATATGTCATTCAAAAAATTTTTTTATTTACAACACTTCTATTCTTCATATGATCCTGTCGCTAACATATGTATATTTATTAATAGCTCTATAGCTTTGGTAATATTATGGAAATTCGTACTAATTTCGGGTAGTTTTAAAATAGTCTGCAATTTTGGAAAGAATGCGAACTAAGTCACTAGCCGGTGTCCAGCAACTCGATTATTTTTGAATATCTTGGATGATATTTTTGCGTTTATACGGAGTATTTTTGTGTGCTTATTTAAACAGTAAAAAATATGGACTTGTAATGACTGAAATTGTTCTACTTTAACTTCATACTAAATTTTAAACTTTAAAGTGCTGCCACTTAAATCATAACGTGAATTTGAAGAAAGCAAAAAGTATTAAATTATTAATATGTGATTTCATACAAGTTCTGAGTTGTTCAAACTACATGATGTATAATAGGTCGATTTTTGCAATTTTAAAGCAAACGATGTATTGAACTTTTAACATAATTCTAGACCGTTTTCATAAATATACGTTTGCACCTAGTCGTTTTTTTATAACAGATGCGCTTATATCATTTAGCAACATTACAAAATAAACTGACTTTTTCATGCATGCCACGTTCATATATATAAAATACTCGATAAAATAACGAACTTCGTACCGCCATAGCTTAGCTTTGATGCACTACTTTATTTTGTATAGCTGACAGTTGTCCTATCTTAGGTATGAGTACCTATTCAATTTAAACTGGAATCTACTTGTATAATATTTTCCATATAAAAATGAATCACTTTTTCCCTGGTCTCGCCATAACTGAGAAGGACTTTACTAATTTCATAATTTTATTAAATAAAAAAAATATATATTTTTCCATAATAGTGTTTATTCCATAGGGTTTCATAATTCCACTTACATTTTTACAAATCGCTACCGAAGAACTTGGCATTTTGAAGTAAACACTGAGCTCAACAACACGCGCGCTCTAGAAAGCAACTAATAGATTTATTTGAATTGATGTTAGTTCTATTCTGTCTATACCCATCTCTGCTCTGAGGTTTATTCTAATGCTTTTTGATAAGCAATATTTTTAGTTTTATGTCTTATTAATATTACCGTCAAAGTCGGTACATTTAATTGTGGCGAGTCATTTTCAAAAATTAGTAAATTAGTGCGATAGAATTTAATTAAGTAACCACATTTCCGAACAAACGATGCTCTTTCAATATAGTCTATGGCTGTGAATGTCGATGACATTCGTTACGCGCGTTTTTTAAAATATGCAAAGTTAAATGTATTTTTTCAATCTATCTGAGACATGTTCTTAATATTTTTTCCGTAAGAACCTTATACAGAGTATTGGAAACCTACAAAAAAAAATCAGCAAAATCGGTCTAGCCGTTCTCAAGTTATGGCGTGACAACGGGAAACGGGTTTCATTTTTATATATATAGAAGATATTCGTGTTAGAAAACAAGTATAGTTATTTTATTATTAATATTACATTCGTTAAATAAATACCTATATTATATATAAGAAGTCCCTCTGTGCCGTACTTCACTCATTTATAATAAAATTTTTGTATCAAATTGACAATATTTCATAAAAAAAGTAAAATAAACGTTTTTAAGCATTTGTACGTTTTTAACTAATTGTTCTCTATTAAGGATTTATATAATTTTGTAGAGCCTATCTTATATACATATGTATGTTACCAGCTGGTAGCACCTTCTCATCACAAATAAATTATTTTAACATCAGCATATAATAATTTCATTACACACCAGGCAGCAATGATAATGGATTTGCACCATCATTCATCGAAAAACCTCGAATCATACCAAACGATTCCGGAACTCTAATTACGATGAAATGCAGATGCAAAGCGAAACCTGAACCCACAGTTAGCTGGTATAGAGGTACACAATCGGTCAGTGAAGGTAAAAAAATAAAAATCAAGTCGACTCTGATTGCTGAAGACACCTTCGAACTGACTTTAGAGATCAAGGTAAAGTAAAATGTATTATTAAATATAAAAGTTTTAAAAAAAACTTAACTTTTCTACTATCCTACTGTCAGACAAAAGAAGAGTGCGAAAATCGAGAGAATCATTTATACAAAAAACGAATACCTAAATATTTTACACTTAAATTAGAAAAGCTAAAAGAAGAAGTGATTTGATTTAAAATTAGCCTCTTATGAGCATATATTAGTTATACATAATATATAAAATTTATAACATCTTATACATTTTTACACGGTTATCAAAATACTTTGTTTTCTTTTTCGCGTAGGATCCTGGTGCTGCTGACGGCGGCACTTACCGCTGTAATGTTCAAAATGAGTATGGAGAGTCTAACGCAAATCTCAATTTGAATATTGAAGCTGAACCAGAACCCGAAGGAGAAGGTCCCACATTTGTGGAGAAACCACGCATAATTTCCGAAAATAAAGGAAAACTTGTAATAATGGAATGTAAGGTTAAGGCTGATCCAAAGCCAGATATAATTTGGTACCGTAACGGTCAAATTATTCAAGAAAGTAGTAAAATAAAAATGTTTATGGAGCAACGTGGTGATCAATACTACATTAAGCTGGAACTTATTGATCCACAATTAGAAGATTCAGGTCTCTATAAATGCAATATCAAAAATGCACTAGGTGAACTAAATGCAAACCTGACGTTAAATATTGAAAGTAAGTTTCATTTACAATACGTATAAATATTTCTTTCACCAGCATACTGTATTAAGAACGCATTTTTATTAAATTATTTAATTTCGATTCTTACAGTAGTTCCTGTTATTAAAGACAAACCAAAAATTATTAAAATCATTAAAAAACGTACTGTAGTTATTGAATGTACAGTAGCGTCCAAATTTGAACCAAAATGTACTTGGTACAAAGAAGAAACGGCGGTGAGAGAGAGCCAACGCCACGTTTACCGCGTAGAACAAACAAAGGAGGGCGAGTTCGCCGTGAAATTGGAAATAAATGAAGTGATGGAAACTGACAAGGGCTCTTACAAACTAATAGCTAGCAATGAGAAAGGAGAGGCAATTTCACAAGTAGTTCAACTTGTAGATATTCCAGAAGAGGAGCGTAAATCTACTGTACCAGAGCTAGTTAAAACTCTTTCAGATCAGACTGTAGTTGAGTTGAAACCTTTCGAATTGCATGTCACATTGAAACAGAATGATCGTAAATGTAAAATTGAATGGTTTAAAGGAAGTATATTAGTCCGTGAAACGAAAGAAATTACAACCACATTTGATGGTACAAATGCACGACTAACATTCAGCACAGCACGCCAAGAGCATTCCAGCACTTACAGAGTGGTAGTCATCAATGAGACCGGCAAGGTAGAGTCAACTTGTAAGATCACTGTCGTAAAGAAGCTTGTTAAGAAAAAAGACACACAACAGGAAACTGAAGAGAAAATCAAGGTAATCAAATTTTTTGTAGTGAACCGAGAAGTCGGTACATATGGTATACTATATAGTTGTACAGGTATTTTAGACTATCTGAATATTTCAAGAACCTCTTTGACCATTTTGTTGATATTATATGGTAGAACGACTAATTTAAAAATAATTAGATCGTTTTTAATAATATAATTATAATAGTTATAAAGAATAGTAGTAACGTATAGAAAATGCTAATCTACAAATATTAACAAATGTATGTATTGTATATTCAGTGTGACCATTCAATATTGAAAAAATTCATATGTAACATATGAATTATCTCCCTTACCTAACATTAGGGGTATTCAGACCGAACATGTTAATCTGTTAATTCGTTACTTAATATTTTGTTAAAACACTTAACTGTGAACATACTTTTTGCTCTATCTAAGTAGTGCGGTATATTTTGTTCCAAAACGGCTGATTAAAATTTATTAAATACTTACTTTTGAAAAATTTGTCAAAAATTATTTTGAAGCGAGCAGAAAATGTATTTTTTTGCAATGAATTAAATGAACTTTTTAGGCAACGACGCAAAGCAAACAACTGATTTGATGTTACCAAGTAACGAAAAAATGATCAAACTTGCTCGGTAGAACCATAGTCCGTTAATTTTCCAAAAAAAAAAAATGCACGTAAAAAACTACCGAATACCGACTAACGAATCAACAAAGCTGGTCTGAATACCCCTATTACAACTTCTTTCTCTTTACACAATACCTAATATTTATCTACAACTCAGAAAGAGGAGGAAAAAGCTGACAAGCCAAATGAAAGAAAAGAAGAGAAGCAACAGGAAAATTTAAATATTGAAGAAGAAAAGAAGCAGAAAGAAATTGAAAAGAAGAAAATCGAAGAAGTGGTGAAGAATGATACCAAAAAAAATGCTTCAAAGGATGAGTCGAATACTGAAAACCAGAAGGAATTGGTTGAGCCGAAAAAGAAAATGTCAAAAGCAAATGAAAAAATTAAAAATATAAACGAATCACAAAAAGAACCGAAAGAAAAGCCAAATAAAATCGTTGAGAACCAAGAAAAAGATAAGAAACAAACAGAAGACGAAAAGCAGGTAAGGCATATTAAATTCCCTTACGTACCGATAATAACGACATGCTTGAGTTTTAACTGCATTAACAAAGAAAAATTTTGCTTAAAGAGTTGCTTTTTAAATATTTTTCTATCAGCTACCTTTACAATTCAGACTGCAAAATACCGCTTTCGCCCCTAGAAGTCTTTTATATATGTACAAAGAAATCAACTATGCTTTTTCATCAAACTGAATTAATCGATAGTAATTTATGCTAACGTTCTGACAAACTATTTGAAAATACCACAGTCAAATATTGTTCTACATTGATAGAGTATTAAAATTATGTATACCAGGGGTGATCAAAAAATTTAACTCCGGAGCCACACGACAACAACATCACAAAAAACTACAACGACATAGTTCTGAGAAAGACAACAAATACTTCGACTCAAAACTATGATTCTACCGACTAACAACAAAGCGATGTTCGCTATAACTTTAAAATCAATTTATTTAATTCAAAGTAACAGTTATTATATAATAGCTGAACTTCGTACCGCCATAGCGTAGCTTTGATGCACTACTTTATTTTGTATAGCTGATAGTTGTCCTATCTTAGGTATTAGTACCTAATCAATTTAAACTGGAATGTATAATATCCTCCATATAAAAATGAATCCCTATTTCCCTGGTCTCACCATAACTGAGAACGACTTTACTAATTTCATAATTCATTAATATTGTGTAGTCATCAAAAAGCTGTGAACTTACCGTGATTAACAAACACTTATTAGCAAACAACAAACTTCTTAGTCTTTAAAACCAAACAAACTTTATCAAAAACTTAATAAAATTATTGTTAGCGCTATGTTAGGTTATGTGTGATTACCATCAGATTACTAAAAAGGTTATACGAAGTTTGTATACTGCATTCTAAAATCTAACTCATAGTATACTTATTTTATTATTATTAAATACTTACATTAAAGTGAAATCATCACTGGAATTATTAATATTACCGTCAAAGTCGGCACATTTAATTGTGTCGAGTAATTTTCAAAAATTAGTAAATTAGTGCGATAGAATTTAATTAAGTAACCACATTTCCGAACAAACGATGCTCTTTCAATATAGTCTATGGCTGTGAATGACGATGACATTCGTTACGCGCGTTTTTTAAAATATGCAAAGTTAAATGTATTTTTTCAATCTTTCTGAGACATATTCTTAATATTTTTTCCGTAAGAACCTGATACAGAGTGTTAGAAACCTACAAAAAAAAATCAGCAAAATCGGTCTAGCCGTTCTCAAGTTATGGCGTGACAACGGGAAACGGGTTTCATTTTTATATATATAGATTAATTAATATTACTATTACAATTATCCTTTAGTGCTTTAGTTCATTACATAATTAATTTTTTTATTTATATAACAATAGACTTCTAAACAATTTAATCACAATTTTTTTTATAAAAAATTCTCTTTTCATAAACAATCGGCTCAATCTCAACAGGGACAACCTGAAATAACTTCTGTAAGGAAAATAGATCGCAAGGTAAGTTAGCAGAACAGCCATAACTAATACATCAAATTACCTATTGCAATGGAAAGTAAATCGCATACCTATCTTCTTTCAAGCGCGTGGAGCGGTGCATATTAATTACGGTGGTCGTTATTTCCCAAGTTGATCTTTTTTAGCAAAAGCCCCCTGAAGTCTCAGTTTTTGCCTTAAAAGCAAGTATCTAATGTAAACAAGCTCTTTATTTTAAATTTAGACCGAGTCTAAATTATATTTCTCTTTCCATGTATCTAACATGGGCTTTTTTCGCAATAAGCAAGTAAATCTACTACTTTGAAAAAGTGATGTTCTAATACAAAATATCTTATTAATTTTTGCATAAAAATATTCCTTTAAAAGTTATACGCAGTATAAGACATACATCAAATGTACTAAGCATTCACATAAGTGATTTATATGGTAGATTGTGTGTTGCTCATACGACATTTGATGCATAACTTAAACTGCTTTTAACTTTTAAAGGAATGTTTCTATGCAAAAAAACATACAAACGTTTTTATGGAGCGAAAAGTTTTGTATTATTGAAGATAAAAAAGTCATTGCAAAAGATTAAAAAATCCCATTAAAACTATGTGATAAAATGGTTAGAATTCAAAAAAAAGAGCTTGCTTGCGCTGGATTATTTTTCTTAGACCAAAACTGAGGGGGGTGTGCAAAAAAAATTAACTTGGGGAAATAAGGGACAACCTAATGTAAAAAAAGACCAAATTGATTATGCAGGTCTTGTGTGTTCATCGAAATTGACATATGAAAAAATAAATACGCGAAAATTTTTAAGCGACTACAACCAAAATATCTCCAACCTACCCTTAGCAAGTGATTCACGCTTTTGCAAGAAGTACAGCCTCTTAAAGTATTCACATAACTAATATAATTCGCTAAGCGTTAGTCTAAAGCGAATCGAACAAACTATACCAGATGCTTAACCAAACGGGCAGCACTTATGATGCAATCCTACGCTAACATGTTAATTGGCGCATGCACAATAGTGTTATGATTCTTCTTGGGGGAGAAATTATTTTTTTCGCGTTGGAAACCATTAATTTTGGTTTATAATTGATTTTAAGTCTTATGTTTTAAAAATACGAAATAAAAGAATCTTGTGATTTCGTTTGTCATTTGAATCATTCACAATAGTGAAAGTCAGCTAACATATTATACTTACAAACTTGGCAGCATTAAATATAGAGATTATTTCACTTTATTGAGGTATCCGCATACTCTTCTGCTTAAATTCAACTCGATAACTTTGTTGTTGCTTCATTATGTGAATTTTTTGGCAAGAGAGCAGAGAATTGACCAATCGGAAACAGCTAATATATATAATATTTATATATACATTATCTATTTTAAATTAATAATTTAGTATTAAAATAGCTAATAAATGCTTCTTAATTTTTGTATTGACAGTGATTTTTTTTTAAACCATATCCACATGTCAGGAAAATTTATGAATATTGCAAACGCGTGTGTGCCCTCTCGGTCTAATAATTAAATAATTTATAATTTGCTTTTTTAGTATCAAGCGACAATATAATGAAGGTAAATTACCTATGCAAACCTAGAAAATAGATGAAAATAAATTACAGAAAACCAATTCCAAAATTGTTTTTACAAAATAACTTAAAGGTACCACAGCAAATAGGTCGAAAAGTCTATAACTGGCATTCATTGAAGATTCTTTAGTTTCAAATAATTCTCAGGTGATACCTTTTCCTAGCATTAAGTCATCAGAACTCGATTATTGCCTGGAAATGATCATCTGTGTTTAACAAAGGTGCAAAGACATTTTCACCAACAAAATCAATGATTGGTTCTGAACTATATTCGGAAAAGCTTGGACTGAAATTGTACGAGTTGTTGTTTTATAACAATGTTGTTGTTTTATAACAATAAAATATGGTAGTCAATGGCGGATAAACTTCCGAAAATGCGACGTATATTTTCTGTAGCTTATGGTCGTTTGCTCATACTTAAACTGCTTTGGTGTAAATAATATTTGTGTATCTGTGTCTAACATCGCAACATATTTTAACAAAACAGGCCAGTATACAAGAAGAACGCAAATCAGAAGTTCGTAGGAAGTCTGTAATAAAAACACAGGAGACAACCGTAATAGATGGAGATAAAGTATCATCTCGACGTTCATCAGTTGAGGTATGTATATAAAATATTATTGTTTGTATTTTTTGTCGCGTAAATTGTAATTTAGCAAAGTGAGTTTCAAAAAAGGAATTGTAACAACAAATGATTGTATAGGTTTAGTTAATATTTCGATGATAGTTGCGTGCCTATTTATATAGCCATGCACATATTTTACTACTTTAATACTCTCAAACTAGTAAATGGACATCATGCGCAAAAATTAATTTAATCTTGAACGGCATTAAATATGAAATCTTAGTGCCCAAGCATGCGTTTCTATCTTCAAGAGAACAAATGCCCCATAAAATATTGCCAATATCAATGGTAATAAATTTAACAGTTGGTTGTCATTTTATAAGTCTTGCAGATGCGCTCTTTTTCTATAGAGAATTAAATATTATTCTGGGGATCGGCATTTCTTTTGTGTTTTACACAAAGATAATGAAAAATATAAATTTTTTTCCGCCATAAACAGTAAAATCAACAATATACTACTCATAACCTATTTTGTAAGTATATTTTGCCATTGTTTACACGTGGATATCCTTTTTTATTTTTCACTTCAGTTCAGTTTAGTTTCATACTACAAGTAGTTATGTAGTTCAAAAAATAGCCGAACACAATTTCAGTTCGTTTTTAGTTCAAAAGCTCTGTTCTAATAAAACAACTCATTAAATAATCGCTCTATGAATAATATATTGTAAATGGGGAAATGTAGATGTTTTTGGCTAGTTGTATATAATTGTATTATATGTAGGTGTATTATATGTTTTGTTTCTGCAGCAACATGAAGAGTCCAGCCGGGAATTGTGTAGATCGTCCATTATGGAAAAGACAGAACTTGAGGTAACTAGAAATTCATTGCGACTAAATTGTAGATTATTGTGCAAATTATTCCCTTATGTAGCATATAAACAAAAGTATTATCGTATAAAAATTATAATTTATACAAATATTGATTATAATTTAACGTTTGCATAATGCATGTATGATCCTTTTTCATCACCTTAGTAAAAATCCAAATCCTTTTCATATTTTCCACACATGTATGTAATTCTAAAAGAAACCTGAAAACAAGAAAATTGAGGCGAATAAAAATCCACAGCAAATAAAAGAGGAAATACCGAAACTTAAACCCGCTGAACAACGACAAATATCAAAGGTGAGAAATCTGCACTTTTTTTAAATGGTTTTTTATATGTCACTACATTAAGGTGTCCCAAAAAAATTTAAGTTTTTTTTTTAACGCATACATTCTTAATTTGTTTGAATCACGCTGAAACAATTGGAAACTAAGTTTGGTGTAGATTAAGATACGTGCCGATTTGCAGCGAAACTTATAAATACTTGCTTACTATAGCCGACACGGACGAACTATGGATTAATGGTGTTATAAATTGTGCTTTTTATACAATAAACACATAGTTTTCGTTCGACTACATGCCAATTTGAATTCCGCAGTTTTAAGAAAAATATATTTTTAATAGATGATGCAAAATATCAAATATGGGATAAAAACTTCATTCTTATAAACAAGCTTTAGTAGTGTTATCCTACAGCATTCTTCATGTGAATTGACTGTAAATAAAAGTGAAAATCTCAGTATTCACAGTGCGTTATACAATATATTGCTAATAACCTCGTATTACTAAAATCGTTTCCTAATAATGTAAAGAAACTTGTTAATTTATATCAAAAAATGCACAAAAACACTCAAGACAACAGTGACAAGAGTTTGTCAGGAACTTAGACAATTTGTTTTATATTGCTCATGCCCATACGCTTCAATTAATGAAGCATTTTTTGCAACGTCAACGTTATCCAAGTCGACTGGATCAGACCTCGCCTGAATTATTGAGAAAGAGAAACGGTGATATAAATATATCGCAGAGTCAACCCCATCGACATCATCATATAATCCTCTATAAGAAGACTCATCTGATTCGAACGCAGACATAATATCGTTGCAAGAAGATTGGCCAACTCAGGTCGAGGGCTCGCATCCCAAAAAAAAAACAAAAAAAACAAAAAAATCAATGCGCTGACACTTCATCCAAAATTAATAGCGGCGCTAGACACTAAATTATGATGGATACCGTATATGTTCTTGAAGATACTATTGAGGCACTTGGATACCATACTGATTAATTGCCCATAAGAAAGTCCTCAGTTCAAAGAATTCGTAACGCAAAACGCAATGAGCGTCTGGAATCCATTAAAATTGATTTTCAAAATAAGATGACAGAATTTTTGATTGTTCACTTTGATTGAAAATTATTGTCTGCTTGAGATGCTCGAAAATCAAAAGAAGAACTTCTTCAGGTAGTTAATTCATATGGAAATAAAGTACAATTGATAGGTGTGCTAAGATTAGAAATCTCATTAGAAAGGAAAACGGGCAAAGGCGGCTTGGATGGCTATCGAGAACTTATTGAGCTCTCTCAGTGATATTTTGGGTTAAGAGAAAAATCGAAAATTTAAAGGTCGGAATAAGGCACTGCTTGATATTTGCTTGTTCATCGTGACATCCTACATTAAGCCCTGGCTTCAATGTATTTTAGTTGTAAAAGCACCTTATCAGGATTTGTGTCTTTTAAAGTCAATGAAGTCTTATGAAAAAATTTATACGAAGGTCTCGGAGGATGCTTTACAGTAATTAAGCCACCATCTTTAGTATTTAACCAATAGGTAGACCAAGGAATTAAAAAAAAAATAGTTGAAAGTCTAAACAAAAAGAATCCGTCAACCCATGGTCTCTATGGCTAAATAAATATACCAAGAAAAAGTTGTCTGTGCTGAGGGCAGTCAACACTACTGATGAAAGAGCAGTCAAACTGATGCATAAATTTCATGGTTTCATTGCAGTTGAAGAGGAGCAAAAGTAATTCTCATTACGCTGCGTACAAGAATGTAATATGTTTTGGGTATATTAGTGTTTCATTAACTTGATAAATTTAAAAAGGGGGTCTGCGACCTAATTTTAAGGAAAATAAATCTTGGTTTTCCAATTAGAGTGATTGGTTTCTGAATTTAACATCGCTCAAATGGTCTCCACGACTTCTTTTGCAGGAACGAATTCGATGAACAAAATTATCGAATATTTTTTCCACTAAACCAAGTCGTATGTCATGAATAGCACGTTCAATATTAACTTCTTAAGCTTGAAGAGAGTCTGGTTCATATAAAGACCAATGACTTCAAATAACCCCACAAGAAGTTGTCTAATGATGTTAAATCACAACTTCTTGGAGGTCTTCAAATGCCACAATTTTTTGAAATTATCGAATCTCCATACTCTTCTCGCAATGATTGTGGAACGAAGCCCAGGTTCTTGTTGGAACCAGATGTTGCAAAGCTCAACTTCTTTCAATTACGATAAAAAGTTGGTTATCATCGACCCATACCGTTCTCCATTGACAGTAACGGTGTCAGCAGCTTCATTTTGAAAGAAGTACGGACCGATGATTCCACCAGACCAAAAACCAAACTAAATTGTCAAATAAGTTAAATGTAAGGGTTGTTCGTGAATAATTTGTGGATTTTCTTCGCACCAGAATCGACAGTTTTGTTTATTTACCGCACCACTCAGATGAAAGTGAGCCTCATCGGAGAAGATGATTTTCTTCGAAAAATCGTTATCGTTTTCAAGTTATTCCATGGCAAATTCACGACATTTACGGTGGTTCAAGTTCTTGAGTGAGAACAATTTTATCCGGCAGCATTTAAGCGAGCACAGCTGGATGATTATTACGACCATAAAATAGCAAAAGCGAACGAAAAGTTGCAATTGGAGAACGATTATTTTGATAATAAACATTACATTGATGTAAACATTACTGAATATAATAAAAACAAATGACAGATCATGACATATAAAAAATGATCGAAACGACACTTAAAAATCATATCATCCCTATCCCATTAGAAAAAAAACAAGATGACTACCTTGCGGAACACATGAAGAGACATGATTGGATCTGAAAGAGTATTATTAAATACCACTCGTTGTGTTCTATTATAAAGATAAAATTATATCCGTTGAAGATAGCTTGGCAGAGAGAGTCAAGTTAATGTACGAGAGTCGAGAGATTTTCTTTATTGAAAGCTTCAGTGTATATAACATCTGTACGCTTATGTTCCCTTAAACCTAATGATACATGGTTTACAAATTCAGTTAAATTTGTTAGGGTCGATTTGCCTTCACGAAATCCATGCTGGGAAGAAGAAATAGCGGAAGAAATCGAAAAAATTATATGGTCTGCGATGATAGCTTCAAAAAGTTCAGGTATAATTGATAGTTTTGCAATACCTATAGTTTTCAATGTATGACCTAAGTCCACTTTTATGCAAAGGGATTATAAATGATTGTTTCCATATCTAAGCAAATATAACTTTTCTAAGGGAGGAGTTAAATATCCTTGTCAAAGGCAAGTAGATACCATATATTTGGCACTATTTTTAAGGAAACATGAGAGCATCATACCTGGGCCATAATAAAAAAATTGTTTACCTCAATCAAATTAGGTAAGACGTCTTCTTCAGACATAATTGGAGCGTTAATTGAAGTATTCGGACAGAGCACGTGCAGATAGGAAAAAAATTAGTACAGTAGTTTGACTTAAAAATTCTGCAAACATAATGGAAATAATGTGATTGTCACTTGACATGATAGATTTGTATTTCATCGCAGGCGGAAATTTCCTGCGTTTTTAGTTAACGAAATCATAAAATAATTTTTGATTACGTACAATATTATTTTTTACCTTATTTAAGTAAATAGTATAATATTTTTTGTTAAGGTCTGCATACTGTCGACGCAATGCAGAATATTTAGAATATTCGAGAATCACGAGTTTGTACTTTTACTTTTATTAACAATTTCGATTGGAACATACTTTTCAAATATTGCATAATAGTTTTATTGACATGAATGCGAGACATCTAGAAGGCATATTTCTTAGTGAAAAGACTCTGCTTTTTCTACCACTCCTTGTTCCAACAAAATTCTGTACTATTCACCCATAATAATAGAAACAAGATTGCCCCATCATTACGTATGTAATGAATTTTAGAATAGTAAGTAAAAACTTAGTGTAATCTCTATCATTCACCAATGATCCAAACCATCACGCGAAATGGTTAACGCATCGCATATATAAGGGCTGTTCATTCGATTAAGCAGGGCTTTTATTGCATTTCTTGTAGTTCAAGACAGGTCAAACTTCTAAAACTTTGAAAAAGGGACCTCAAACCTATCAGTCTCAGCTTATATTTTCGATTTAACATTTATTATTAACTTTCATTTTCTTATTACTAATAAATTTCTAACAACTCAAAAATGTTTTTGTATTATCATATGAAGTTTCCTTCCTTGTCGTGTTTTATTGTTTTTGTTCACTTTGCATTTCATTCAATATCAGCTAAAACAAGAAGAAAAGACTGTAGTAGAAGAGTTGCCAAAATTACGAAAAACTTCTATTGCTACACTTAAAGAAGACCCTCAGCCAGAACCGCCCAAGCCTAAAGCCAAGGCTAAGGTCAAAGCTAAGCCGAAATATGAAGAATTACCAGAAATACCGGACTATGAAAGGCCTGTTCTAGAAAAATATGAAAAATCTGAATTCGCGGCAAGTGACTTTAGTCGTGAACTTGATATACCCACAAAAATGGAAAAACCAGTATTAGATTCTGAGAAAAAAGAACCAGAGAAAGCTATTCTAAAAAACGGACCACCAAAGGTACGAAATGGCACACATTTTGCATAAATTGTTTAAATAATATAACTAACATTATAATACTCATCAGTAGTAAATTGGCAAATGACCATGAATGAGCATGAAATCGTGCTAATAAGTAAAATCTCATTTGTTATTCCTATGTATCATTAAATTTTTAATGCTGTATGTGTGTATTTCCTCATGTTTGCAGAAAGAAAAGGCCGACCAAGTGCTAGCTGAAGAGCCCACAGGCTTCAAAGTAGGTAAAGGAAAGATTCCAGAAGATACCACTGAAGTTGATTCAGCAAGTTTGCGTCCCGTGATTATTGAGCCAGAGGTACGTCATGTATGAAGTAAAAGTGTATTTTATTTTATTATGTACAACTATACGACATTCAGTGGCGGATCCAAAATTTCTTTCTGGGGGAGCTTTATTTTTCCTTCCAACATACTTTTAATATTAATGTTACTTCGTGAATTCTTTTGAATTTAAAATTAAAATCTCCGATTTTCGTGGATGTCAAAAACGCTCCCCCCTCCGTAGATCCGTCATTGACCACATTGTATTCCGTGAATTGCTGTATACACCAGCATCCTGCATAAATACAAAATACACTTTTCAAATTTCTTTCATGTATTAATATTGTATTTCCTGACGTCCAAACCATTTCTAACTTAACTCATATGGAAACACAACACCCTCCTTCTCATTCAAACTAATCAGGCAAAAACACCATCTGAACTTGCTGCTCCTGTTGAGGTAAGTTAATCTGCCATTCCTTGATTTGTAATTACATGTATGTTACATGTATTTTTATTTAATCTATTGTGTCTCTATGTGTATATATATATTTAACTTCTGTCACTTGTCTCAGGGAGAAAGTAAGAAAACCTATATCATCTGACCATATAAAAAAGTTCTCTCGATCAATATATAATATGTATGCAGATGTAAGAAACTGTGCTCAATTTGTATGTCAAATGGTTTTGATTGTCAAGTTTTAAAAGAAACTTGTGACGTTAAAAAATTATAGCAAACAATATATTTATGCATTTGATTTAAATTAAAAAATGCCGGGTTATTTACACCATTTATAACTCAAAAATGGATCGTTTTCGAAAGAGAATTTCAGGTAGGCCAGTTTTTAGGTATGCTATCTCTCTCACTCTCCCGGACGTCATACGGTCTATCTGGCTGGTAGAGTGAGAGAGTTGGCATATCTAAGCCCTGGCCTGTATGAAATTCTTGTTTTTTCGTTGTTGCTGGTTCCCGTACTATTACTCATTTACTGAATTCGTCTTTTGTAATCATTTGGTTATCGTTACTCAAATGGAAACTTAATGACTACAAATCTTTGATTGCAATTATTTTCTTACTAAGAGACTGTATGGGCGACCGATTGTTTAGTGTTATGCTTCAAACAGTCACTGACATTTCTCCCTTCCATACTTACCGCCCGTATCAAACAAAATGCCCGTAGTTGCAACGCGGAAATCAGTTGTTCTCTTTTGCTTTCATGTCACCAATGTTGCCATTGTTCTATTTGTAAACACGAGTTTTCACACATTTAGCTTTTTAGTTATATTTTTTCATAATGTAAAAGCTCAAAACTAAAATCCAACTATTCAAAAAAAATTCGTGCGGTTTTCTAAGAGAGGGCTCTACTAGTATTATCTCGCGTCGTATTCATCTGTGGCTATATTCATTTCAAAGGTACTGCCATTTCGCGTCGTTTTCAGTAGATATAAATTGTTTGAGCGTGAACAACAATTTGTTTCATTCATTTGAAAATGTCGAAATTTGTACCAGATAAAGTGTTTTTGAGGGGAGTTCTTCTTCATTATTTTAACATGAAGAAAAGTGCTGCCGAAAGCCATCGTATTTTACTGGACGTTTATGGTGACCATGCTTTAGCCGAACGAACGTGCCAAAAGTGGTTTGCACGGTTTAAAAGTGGCAATTTCGACTTAGACGACGGAGAACGACCCGGACAGGCAAACAAACTTCAAGACGAAGAATTGGAGACATTGCTCGACGCAGATGCATGCCAGACCCAAGAAGAACTTGCAAAAGTAAAAAATTATTAATTTTTTCACAATAAAGTCTTAATTTTCGTAAAAAAACCGCACGAATTAATGCATACACCCTACCTATTTTAAAATATATAAATGTATTCGACTGTGATTTTGACTCGTTTCTACAGGAAGTATCCAATTTTCACGGATATCCTACCATAGATCTGCGAAGTGGACGGTAGAAGCGGTGGTGAGTGTTCATTTACATTGCGCTCTCATATGATAGGTCGTATCAGCTGATTCGGTCCACGATTTTGCGTCCATGACTGTTTGAACTTTATGATATGTATGCTTTCATAATGTTATTTTGAAGTGATATAATTTAAAGCGCGACACATAACATAAAGTGCGGAAATTTATTAACAGCTTCAGAAAAAATTATGCTATTTTTGTACGAATAATTTTATTTTGTAGATAATTGATTCTATTTTTATTTAATATTTAAAAATATATATTTACGAAATTCGGAATTTGAAAAACAAACCTAAAATTAAACTTTCTGATTATATCTTTATCTATTAGTTCATTCTTTTTAGAAGCGGAAACTGAAGTTTCTTTTGCAGACCGCAGATTATCACACGTCAGAAATATAATTGCATTTGGTACCACTCCGCAAATGCATACAATTTTTCTTTGAGTAACCACCAACAATATATAAAGCTGGGGCTTCCTCTGTTTTGTTGGTATTTAATAGGTTAGTGATGGATATCTGATTGATTTGGTGACTTTATTTTATTGAACGAAGTGCCATTGGAGTTCAATCGATATCATCTAAAAAGCACTTCACTTACCTTAGTTGTACAATCTAGTACTGACCGCAGATCTTCGCAGGCATCGGAAATTTCGTTATTTGTTTTTTTCCTAGAAAATCTGTAAAGTTAGGTTTGAGTCATCCAGCACTTTGAGTCAAAGTCCATTAATATAAGCTCATCATCAAGCCATTCTTTGTTACTTGCTTTGAAATTCTTACGAGTTCGATGATTTTTTCTCCATTCCAACCACAGTTTTTAGAAAAAAATTTATTTTCACAAACATGTTAGCGCATTCATTGTAATCATAATTAATTTTGTTAATAACATTGTTGTATATGAATAAAATGTTCTGATATAAACCATATTCCAGAGAGGGCGTTCTGTATCTACAGGAAGAAAAGAAATTGTTAGAAGGGTCATGGTCTGGGCTATAAGGCGAATGAGGTAAAACCTATTGTCCAAATAGGTATTAACCCGTCGTGCAGCATGAGGCCGAGCGTTGTCATAATGGAAAATTGTTGCCTTATGTCTGGTCGCAAATTCCGGTTGTCGGTAGCGTTCCCTATTAATGGTTTCACACGGCTTTAGAAGCACGGCACAGCACGCCCTTCTGATCCCACCAAATACTGAACATTACCTGGGCGTCATGATACTATAATTAGACATTGACAAATTAAAAAAAAAACACGTTGATACCGAACCTCAAAAAACATTCTACGAATGATTAGTTTCTTAGTAAACATTGTTATCTCTTAGAAGCTCTATAAATAATACTGTGTTTTGGAACAAAACACAATCACAATCGCATGTCGCAAATACTTTCTTTTTTAATTAATTACTTTCTTCTTTGAATAATAAGCAAAAGTTGAACTGCAATACAATAAAAAAAATGTTATGCAAATTTCAATTCAATTGGCGGGAAAACTGTTAGCAGTAGCTCATGTTGAAGCTTTACGATCTAGGCAAATATTCATGATAATCACGCTAAGATTAAATTTGAGTTGTTCGCTATTAAATCAGCTGTTTCTCCCACTGTGCATCATTTCGAACTAATAAAACGCTTATGTTAGTAAACCAGCACTTCTTAAACTTTGCCAAAGAACTGTGACTAATGGTAGCTGGTTGCTAGTTTTTGGTGGAAGTATTGCTCGGCCGCAAAGCCAATTGCTTTCGATAAGATTGAATCAAAAATAGTTCAACTTATATTAGTCCCGTTATAGTTGTTAAGGTAAAACAATTTTTTTTAGGGTTGTGAAAGAATAGTCTACTACTATGTTTTGAACATATTCTTTTGTGTAATGCAGGGTAATAAATATCTTAAGGAGCTCATTCAGCAACGTCGACGTTCTTCAGTTAAAAATCTTATGACCAAAGAACCCATTGAAAACTTTTTGGGAGTAGTTTTAAAACCCGTAGCAAAAGATCCAAGAGATGAAGAAGTTCCACAGCAAGCCCAACAGATGTTAAAGGTAACTGAACAATGAAATGAAGCTCTCTTTTTCGTTTCCTCTCGCTCTAATTGTTCTGTTAAATTTCTTGAGCAGCGTCGTCGTCTCTTTATTATTTTTTATCTATAACCGAAAGCCTCATAATTCACTGACCGGTACTAAAAAGTTTACACCATTTTATTTCCTTGTAGGTGATAATTTCTCTATTTTGCATAATTTATTAAAAAAACTATTTGATTTTTCTTGCTCACTTTTTAGCAATACTTTATTTTCTCTTTATGCTTTTTAGCCTCAATAATTGTAGATAGATAATCTCCAAAAGCCATTCATTATTTTATAAATTGCTGTTTTCTTGACAATATCTGCTCTCTCTTTCTCTCTCCCTCTCTCTTTCTTGACAATATGTCCCTCTCTTTGTATGAAATTAAAATGTCTTTTATGGTTTTCAATAATATATTATATATGTATGTATATGATTTTATACACCAATGCTTTTTAAGGAAACAATGAAAAAAGGTAAACTCACGGTAGGATCCGAGAAAGTGAAAGTTCAGGTTTTGAAAAAACCTGAAGGTTTACCAACAATCTTGGACAACTATGAAGGTCCCGAAATAGAAATATATGCAAAAACTGAATTTGAAAAGAAAGTAAACGCTAAAAGTAAATCACAATTAACGGCTAAAAAGGTTATATCTCAAGACCAATCGCCTGCAGAAGTTTCGACAAAGGTAAGCTTTGTTTATTTATGCATTCAATTTTCGCACCAAACATTATTATAAAATGAGAAAAGGCTTAGTTATAAAAGCTTGCTTGCACTGAGAAGATGAATGTTTAATCCTAAGAAAAATTTTGTTAGTATTTAATAAATTGATTTCCATATAACAAAAACAATGCTCAATATAATAAAACCAAAGCATAGAGTACGCGTGGTGTAAAAACAATACTATCGAATGTATTCACTTTTAAGATAAGTAATATGCGTAAATGTTATATCATACTCTCTGCTGTTTCATACATACCGCACTTATTGCCCGATTATAGCAATGTTGGTACAATTGTCACATTTTCAGAAGTTTACATATTTTTTTAGTAAATATTCGAAAATTGTTTTCATATAAAAGATGTATGCGTACTTTTATACAAAAAAACATTGAAACGCATACTTCTTTTATGAATATTTTTCGATTAGCTGTGGCGAGTAAATGTTATAAATATCTGAAAATGTAGTTCAAGAAAGCTTGATTTATAAATTTAATGAAGTACGAAAATATTTCCAACCAACCGGACAGAGTTTCTATTGCCATACTGGCAAAGTAGGGAATCACAAACATTATTATGTTCCGCCAGACTATGCTTTAACAATGCTGTATGGTATGCTCCATATAAAAGCACACTCTCCCTTAATCTTTGAGTTCAAAGTAGCGTGACTAATCCATATTGAATTCAATGTCTACGATATGCTCCGAAAAACGAAAGAACCGAAGGGCTAACATTATTTATGAAATACATTTATTTACAAACCAACTTGTTATCATCTATGTTGAGACCATATAGTATTTACATATTTAAGAATTTTTATTAATATTTATTAACAATGCAACTTCTTATAAAATATATTTACATTAATGTTCTATTAAGAACCTTCAGGTTCACTAACTTGTAATTTTATTTTCCGTGCGTGCGATAAATTGCGTGAATATTGAGGTATGTTTTTTAAACTTGGTATACGTATTTCTCAGCGCTCTGAAGAGGTTGAAAATTGGATAATTGCCAATCCCACAAAATAGGGTAATATTGCTATGACGGGAGCACAAATTAAACTACAATTTAATACAAAGGATCTCAGTAAGGAGGAACATCTGCAAGTGAATGTTGGGCCCCCCTCTAATAGAAATATATCACATATATATAATATATCAGTAGAGATATAATATATCAACCGAACTTAGTGGAAACATTTATTTCTTCAATTCTTAGTGCAATATGAAAATGAGCGAAATTGGATAATAATCACCCCCACGACTTATCCAATGTTATGTTGATCTAATTATTACATTTAGTTTTAAAGAAAAGATGATACGGTAGGGCTGCAGAATAATTGGTAATAGTACTGCTCACTTTCAGAAACTCCAATTGACCAATTTGGACTAGAACCACTAGAAAATATCATACTAAAAATGAATAAAATGGATTCTGTACTTCCTCAAGCCCCTATTAAATATTTAGGGATTGATCCGCTTGTCTTTACAATTCATTTAGATTATCATTATGTATATCATTTGGTGGTGAAAATTACAGATATCGCTATGTACTTTCAAGCTGCACTAATATGATGAATATATAATATTATATAATTTTAGGTAATTAGGGTTTCGTGTTAGCATTTAAGCTAGATATAAATCTTAAAGTTTGATGAGCAATTATGATGAGATATTATATAATGCAAATTATGACGTTATTATAATAATTACTTTGAATTACTTTGCATATTTGTTTAATTTTATTGGGATATTACTTGTTATTTCAGTTGTTTTGGTTGGTGCAAGTGTTAAACACGCTTTAAGTATTTCTTAATTTTTGCATACAAAAAGATACATTCCTCGGTGGTGAGCTTTCGTTTGACTTACACAAATTGACAAATTGGTTAGCCGTTACAACAAAAATTTATTGGAAATTGTATTTAAATATAATAATTTAAAAAATATAATTCATTTAAGTAAAATAACCAAACTTATTGGTTATTTGCTATATTCTACTATTGCATTCTATTACTCCTGTACCCCATTAAAATAACTAAACTTTAGCTTTGCTCTCTCGCATTGCTGTTTTTGTATTCGAGTAATTTTTTCATGTAATTCTACCTCCCCAACTCGTTTTAAACAAGCCTGGCCAAATAACTTACTACCAAACGCTGTTATATAATATTATATTATATACATAAGTTTGTGATTCAAAATCACTCTTCAATGTTGTTTATAAGTATATACGATATAGTCTGATGCCGGAAAAAAAGCACGGGAGAAATATGCTGTTAATGGTTTTCATCTTTTTAAAAAGATAAAATAAACGGAAACAAGTAAGGAAGGCCTAAGTTCGGGTGCAACTGAGTATTTTATACTATCAGTACTAAGAAAATTCTCTCAGGTATTGGCACAATTTTATATTAAATAAACTATAGTCCGCCTTTTTTTTGGGGGTAAGATGAAATACCTTGAGCGTTTTTTATTCTGAAATGAATTTGATTTTTGATTTATTTACTATGAAGTGAAACAATCAAATGGAATTTAATGTGCCTTAAACTAATAAGGGGGCTGGGCCATGCCTGCTTTAAATAAATTTTTAGCCGACAAGTGTCTCTCGCCACTGCAAAATACAGATTTGTATGTTTATTTAGTGCTTAGTTACGAACACTTTATGGAGATTCGTTTCTTAGCGTTTTGTGGGCGTGACAGTGACAAAACATGGAAGTTTTGATTACTAAAGCCACTATAAACAGTTTACATAGAGATCTTTAAACTAAAGTTTACTACAGTTACATAAACCTATTTCACATCCAATATAACACCTGCAGTTGATTTTGCTAAGATATCTTACATATTGACCTATATATATACGATATACGGCCAACCGGAAGTTTGAAAATTTTTTATTAGGTATATGGGAGATTGACACGATTTTATCTATTTGTGGCATCACATACAATATATAAGGAGTAAAGTCAACCGGATCTTTGAAAATCTTATATTAGTTTAATAGGGGCTAATGGAAGTTTTAACCCGATTTTACTCATTTTTGGCACAGGGAACCACTGTTAGGAGAAAACCATACTCACTTCATTTAATTAAGCTAACTCACATATCGACCGATATATGGAATATAAAGTCAGCCAGAAGTTCGAAAATCTTTCTATTAGGTATATGGGGGTTAAAGGAAATATTGACTCGATTCAACCAATTTTTGACATACAGGATAATATTCCTGTATCCTAATTTCAATAATATATCTCACAAATTGACCGATATTTTCGGCATAAAGCCAGCAATAGGCTCTGGAGTCCACATTTCGTGTATCTGGAGGCTTGAACTGTTATAGTCCGATTTTGCCAATTTTTAGATCTGACATGGCATACCATAATGACAATATTCGTGCAAGTTTTTATCCCAATATATTAATTTTGTTGGCTTAATATGTATACCAGAATGTGAAAATAACAGATGGCATTTAAAGTTGTGTTATATGAGAGGTAGGCGTGATTACTGTCATCCATCATCATTTCATCCATTTTGGCACTGTAACATGGGAATGTCAATATAGTCCTAGGTACCAAATTTGGTTAAAATTGGTAGAGTAGGTCCGGCGATATGTGATTTAACTTAAATGTGGGCGCCGCCACACCTATCGACCAATGTTTACACCTATTACTATAAAACCCTCTTGTGCCATCCTGAATGTAAAATTTAAATTACAGTTTTGTATATTAATTTGCGGCTTAGTTATGGATATTTATAGATTTTTGCTTAAGGGGTTACATGGGTTTTGTGGCTTCAAAAAAAAAATATTTTTTTTTTTAAATTCTATAACATCTATATAATACTGTCCCAAATGTCGTTTTGTGCTTATTACTATTTTTACACAACAAAAAGGGGATTGTTGAGGAATAAAGTGCTCTACCAAAATTTAATATTTATATACATACTATATCTGTACGTGTATTTGTAATTGAACTCCTTCTAAACGGTTGGACCGATTCTGATGAAATTTTTTGTGTGTAGATTCACAATTCGATTAACTAGATAATGCTTTAACAATGAATTTATTTATTTAAAAATTGTTGTTGATGTTAGAACGTTTGAAATAGAATTCCGGCAGACTGCGCTATTCAAAAGTATATTTGAGTTTCAGTTGCGCCTGGTAGATGACGCAGATATTTGATTCTAAGATAACATAAGTATAGTTTAAACTATGAAGACTATAGACATGTGTATGGTGTATAGTGTCTAAACATTCATACTGCTATGCTACTCTATACGATACATACATATCTGAATGACGATTTATAAAGGATTGTTTGGCTGAACACATTTGTTACTTTTTGGTATATCCATTACTTTCTTCTTACGGATATTACTTAAAACTCTTTATTTTGAAATTTGTTACTGTTTCAAAGTACATATTTTACATATTTCTTCATAAAATTTTCCTTACCTACATTACTATCCTAAAACGTCTGTCGGGTCCGCTAGTTTAAGTATAAATTTCTAGTAGATCTATAAAAAATGTCCTTTTATATGTTATAACTCCAGCTCTCAGAGCAGTTTATATGGTAACAAGAAAAATTTTATGTGTAACTTTATTATTTTTTTTTGCTTTTTTCATTATTGTTTATGTTTTGTTTTTTAAATAAAATCAAAGTTTATTTTATAAAATGATATGTACAAAGCCAAGGTCTCTTAATTTGAACCAGCGAAAGGTATGTAGATTTCAAGGAGAAAAACTATCGATACTATTGATAGTATTTTTTTAAACTACCGACTATCGATAATTTTGGAGCTGTACCAGACACACTTTTGATTAGGCAAGTCAGAGAAATTAACTTCATGGATCTCAATTTAGAATTAAATTAACTATTCATTAACTGCCAGTACAATTTCATATTGCAATTTGAATTCGGTTGTTAAGTTTAAAGCTTCTCTTGCAAATTAATAAAATTCTAGTCGAGTTTACCAAA